AATTCTTCAATGTGATGGTTACCCAAGTTTATGCTCCAATTCCCAATGCAAAAGAAAAAGAATTTGACAAATTTTATGGTCAAGTTCTAATTGAATTTAACAAAACTTGTTAGCAAAGTTTGGAATGCTAAACTCGTAAATAGTACAGAAAAAAATGTAGTTGGACAACATGATCTAGGAAATCAAAATGAAACAAAAGAACTTAATCAGTTTCTGTCAATCCAATATTTTTTTTCCTGCTAACAGTTTTCAAATAATCAAAACAATGCCTTTTTACATGGACATCATCAGATAGAACACACAGAAATGAAATTCACTTTATATTGCTATAAGGAGGTAGATGAATTCAGTTTTAACAAAATAGGCATAACCAGATGACTACAAAATAGATCATAGCCTGATTATGTACAATTTTTAAATCAAGATAAAGCACAAGAACAAAGACAACCATGCTATGATCTTGAACACATACCAACCATTTACACTTCTTTTTTGAAGTTTATTGTAATATAAATTACAAATGAAAATAAAGATCAGAAAAAAGGTAAAAGGAGATGTAAGATAAAAAGAAATAAAAATGCAACTCCACATCTTTAATCTGAACATACTTTTATTTCTCTTGAATTTAACAAGAGCATTCTTAAAATAATTTGATTAGAAAAAATGCATACGACTAGATATTGTATAAGATTAATTTTTGAATATAAATCTGTAGAAACTATAAATACTGTTTGCACTAAATACAGCTGGACTTATGACCACAACTGAGTCCAAAATTTATGTTGCTAAGTGAGAAATTTGTTACGTGAGTTTTGTCCCATTTTACGACTTTTCTTGCCACATTTGTTAAGTGAATCACTGCAGTTGTTAAGTGAGTAATGTGGTTGTTAGGTGAATCTGGCTTCCCAGTTGACTTTGTTCGTCAGAAGACTGCAAAAGGTGATCACGTGACCCCAAAACACTGCAACCGTCATAAATATGAAGCAGTTGTCAAACATCCAAATGTAAATCACGTGACCCTGGGGATGCTGCAAAGGTCATAAGTGTGAAAAATGGTCATAAGTCACTTTTTTCACTGCAGTTGTAACTTTGAACTGTCACTAAATGAACTGTTGTAAGTCAAGGACTACCTGTACTTGTATCTTTACATGATATCATTAGAGTATTTATTATTTAAATTGTACTGCTAGGTAGGACCAGTAATAAAATATATTCTGCTTGAACAAGAACAGAGAAATTACAAGAAAGATCTTGGTAAAATTTGATCATTCGTAACTAACCAATAAAAATACTTCAACCTTCTCCAATCTGGATGTAGCACAGGGTTATACTGAAATTCCCAAAGTTTGTAAATCAAAATGTGCTCCCTGGGACTGTAAGAATTAAAGGCATCCATTTAGGAACTGATTCTATTTTATTTTGCTTAGCCTTGAGTCAACTAAAGCCAACAGAGGAAAAATTGGAAAAGGAAAGATTACCTGCAGAGTACAAAGAGATCAAAAGAACTTTTCAATTTATAGAAGGAACATAAAGCGATTATACATATCACCTAATAGCTAACTATCAACTTTTGTCATTTAGTCTAGAAGTATGTTGACATTTGACAAAAGAACTTTTTTAATTGGTTCATACAATTCCCATTAGCTGAACACTATTTGCAATGCAACATCAAGGTTTCCTCTGAACTTAGGCAAGTTTACATTTATTTCAACAAGGCATAAGCACTGACCAGATCTTCCAAGTTTAAATGGCTTTGAAAGGTCATCCACATTCTCAGAACATGCCACCACTGCTGTTGCCAAATGAATGTGAGAATTTAAAATGCTATCATATTTTAAAACATCAAAACCAGTAAGGATGTCTTAATATATAAAGTTCTTTAACTTTATGCTGTAAAAGAATAGACGAATGAATAAAATAAAAACTTGTCACTTTTAATGTACACTAATCAGTCTTCATTAAAAGGAAATTTTGTTGCATTCAGCCATCAAAAAAATACCATTATGCATATACCCACATACACACACATATATGACACAGAGAAACATCACAGTCTAATTCGAATATATACATATGCATGGCAAAGAAAAAGAATCCTGCGAATTCACAAGACGGATGGCATAATGAACAAAGCTGTAACAGAATCTAGTAGTTCTGCTATAAATACTTTGAAACCTCCTCCCAGAGGGGAGCAACAGAAACAGACCCTGAATTCTCTAATAATGCTTCGAGATCTAAACACATAGTGCTTATAAGCAGTATCCTGAATAATGGGAAATGAGCTTCCTATAATCTTCTCAATTATAATCTTCTCACTCTCTGTATGGACCTTCTATTTGAGGCATTGCTACCAGTACCACCAAAATAAACAGTGATGTAGTTTGTTAAAACGCTCTCAATTGTGCCTCTGTAAAAAGTGCCCAGGACAGAAAGAGAAAGATGTGCTCTCTTCATCCAACGCAAAAAATGCAAATGCTGGTTTGCACACTTCACTAAAGATAACTATGAAGAAACCAAGTCAGACTGTTAGTTATCTGCTCCCCCCAAGTACTTAATACTATTGACCACTTCCACAGCTGCAGCCTTGATACAAAGGCTGATATCAATAGATTGATTTGTCTCAAATTATTTACTTGTACCGAATTGTCTGGTATAGTATAGTATACTATAATTTAGTATTACTATAGTATAGTAAAACAAAAACAAAGACAGATCACTGCATTATTTCTTGTTAAAGATCTAACTTTTATACTGTAAATGTGAAGTTAAAAAAACTGAAAAACAAAAATTAAAATCACAATGCTCTGCTACTCCAAATCTTAAATTTGGGAATATTTATTCCCATGCGTTGTCTCTGTTAATATCACCAAAGTTATTACTAAGCAGAGACATCAACAGGAATCAGAACTCATTATTTAAATGTAACTTAAATGTAAATGGTTTTCAGAAACAATGAAAATGCACAGGTTTTGCACTTAATTGCAATAAAATCATACTCTGTATATTAAAAAAAGCAAGTGAATCTATTTCCAACAGATGTGTTACTGTCCCATTCCCACCCCCATTTTACATCCCCAAACAATTTACTAATACTACAATGTAACTAGTATCTTACAGGCATCATATAATTTCCTCCAAACAAAGAAGACATTTGTTAAAATCCTGTNTTCAGCAAGCGGGACTGACCTAGGGTGAATTTTAAATAGGGATAATTTTTAATGATTTTAATAATGTCACAGCTACAAATATTTGGTTTTAATTGGCTTTTATAGGGGAAATGTTGTGTGTGTTGTTTGTATTGTGTTATTTTAATATGCTGTGAGCCGCCCTGAGTCCCGTGGGGAGAAGGGCGGCATATAAATTATGGAAAATAAATAAAATGAAATTCACTTTATATTGCTATAAGGAGGTAGATGAATTCAGTTTTAACAAAATAGGCATAACCAGATGACTACAAAACAGATCATAGCCTGATTATGTACAAGTTTTAAATCAAGATAAAGCACAAGAACAAAGACAACCATGCTATGATCCTGAACACATACCAACCATTTACACTTCTTTTTTGAAGTTTATTGTAATATAAATTACAAATGAAAATAAAGAGCAGAAAAAAGGTAAAAGGAGATGTAAGATAAAAAGAAATAAAAATGCAACTCCACATCTTTAATCTGAATATACTTTTATTTCTCTTGAATTTAACAAGAGCATTCTTAAAATAATTTGATTAGAAAAACTGCATACGACTAGATATTGTATAAGATTAATTTTTGAATATAAATCTGTAGAAACTATAAATACTGTTTGCACTAAATACAGCTGGACTTATGACCACAACTGAGCCCAAAATTTATGTTGCTAAGTGAGAAATTTGTTAAGTGAGTTTTGTCCCATTTTACGACTTTTCTTGCCACATTTGTTAAGTGAATCACTGCAGTTGTTAAGTGAGTAATGTGGTTGTTAGGTGAATCTGGCTTCCCAGTTGACTTTGTTCATCAGAAGACTGCAAAAGGTGATCACGTGACCCCAGAACACTGCAACCGTCATAAATATGAAGCAGTTGTCAAATATCCAAATGTAACTCACGTGACCCTGGGGATGCTGCAAAGATCATAAGTGTGAAAAATGGTCATAAGTCACTTTTTTCACTGCAGTTGTAACTTTGAACTGTCACTAAATGAACTGTTGTAAGTCAAGCAGTGGCGTAGCGTGGGTTGTCAGCACCCGGGGCAAGGCACCCCCCCTCCACAGTGGGCGGCGTCGGCGACCCGGCGGCTCGGATCGGATTCGCACAGCCAGCACTGCAGAGAGAGTGAGTGAGCCAGGCAGGGGCAGAGAGCTGCGAGTGCGAGCGCGCCCCCCCAGATGTTGCGCCCGGTGCGGCCGGGGCCCCCTGCACCCCCCACACTACGCCTCTGAAGTCAAGAACTACCTGTACTTGTATCTTTACATGATGTCATTAGAGTATTTATTATTTAAATTGTACTGCTAGGTAGGACCAATAATAAAATATATTCTGCTTGAACAAGAACAGAGAAATTACAAGAAAGATCTTGGTAAAATTTGATCATTCGTAACTAACTAATAAAAATACTTCAGCCTTCTCCAATCTGGATGTAGCACAGGGTTATACTGAAATTCCCAAAGTTTGTAAATCAAAATGTGCTCCCTGTGACTGTAAGAATTAAAGGCATCCATTTAGGAACTGATTCTATTTTATTTTGCTTAGCCTTGAGTCAACTAAAGCCAACAGAGGAAAAATTGGAAAAGGAAAGATTACCTGCAGAGTACAAAGAGATCAAAAGAACTTTTCAATTTATAGAAGGAACATAAAGCGATTATACATATCACCTAATAGCTAACTATCAACTTTTGTCATTTAGTCTAGAAGTATGTTGACATTTGACAAAAGAACTTTTTTAATTGGTTCATACAATTCCCATTAGCTGAACACTATTTGCAATGCAACATCAAGGTTTCCTCTGAACTTAGGCGCTTACATTTATTTCAACAAGGCATAAGCACTGACCAGATCTTCCAAGTTTAAATGGCTTTGAAAGGTCATCCACATTCTCAGAACATGCCACCATTGCTGTTGCCAAATGAATGTGAGAATTTAAAATGCTATCATATTTTAAAACATCAAAACCAGTAAGGATCTTAATATATAAAGTTCCTTAACTTTATGCTGTAAAAGAATAGACAAATGAATAAAATAAAAACTTGTCACTTTAAATGTACACTAATCAGCCTTCATTAAAAGGAAATTTTGTTGCATTTAGCCATCAAAAAAATACCATCTGCTCCCCCAGGTACTTAATACTGTTGACCACCTCCACAGCTGCAGCCTTAATACAAAATGGAGTATGACTATGCCAATATCAATAGATTGATTTGTCTCAAACTATTTACTTGTACCAAATTGTCTGGTATAGTATAGTATACTATAGTTTAGTATTACTATAGTATAGTAAAACAAAAACAAAGACAGATCACTGCATTATTTCCTGTTAAAGATCTAACTTTTATACTGTAAATGTGAAATTAAAAAAACTGAAAAACAAAAATTAAAATCACAATGCTCTGCTACTCCAAATCTTAAATTTGGGAATATTTATTCCCATGCATTGTCTCTGTTAATATCACCAAAGTTATTACTAAGCAGAGACATCAACAGGAATCAGAACTCATTATTTAAATGTAACTTAAATGTAAATGGTTTTCAGAAACAATGAAAATGCACAGATTTTGCACTTAATTGCAATAAAATCATACTCTGTATATTAAAAAAAGCAAGTGAATCTATTTCCAACAGATGTGTTACTGTCCCATTCCCACCCCCATTTTACATCCCCAAACAATTTACTAATACTACAATGTAACTAGTATCTTACAGGCATCATATAATTTCCTCCAAACAAAGAAGACATTTGTTAAAATCCTGTTGATTTCAAACCTATGCATTTCACATTCCTGGCATCATTATATTCAACAATGTAATTTGAAATTCATATGTTCATCCTTTGATGATTTCCTTGCTAACTTTTAAGTTGAGATTTTCATTAATTCACACTTTGAACAAGTAAAAACTGAAATGATATTTTGTTCCATTTCTGCTGGGTGCCGTATTGACAAATGAAATCATCACCCTTACTATCTTTCGCTCCCTCTATATCCCCCAAATAAAACAGAAGTCACATGTGTATCATCTTTTTACGCTTTGGTGAATTCTATGCCACGTAGTAAAAAGATGGAAACTCAAGTAGATTATTTTCACCATCTCCATCTTACACAAATATTGTGATTCATTGAAATCTTCAAACTCCAAATGTATAAGATTTCAGCCAAACACAGCAAGTCAGTAATCTATTCAAGGAAAACAGACAAAAGGACTACTTTCTCTGATTGTGTTTCCCATGAAGATATACTAATAAGGCAGGAGTTTCTCTAATGGAAGGAATCCCAAGGGCTCTATATACTGCATTAGAAGGCAATTACTGGGGCATTTCTGGCACAGGTTATTGCTGTTTCATCAGTAGAGTACAATTGTGACTGATTTCCATCTGTATACCTGTTTATACAAGGTCAGGTTGCCCACATTCAATTGTCAAGTGATTATATTTTTATAGTCTTCCTTAGCACAATTCCTTCAAAATTTGACTACAAACTATATCATCCACTGGCTGTGCTTACTAGGAATGATGGATTTTGTGATCCAAGATTTTCAAAGTGTACTCATCATTAGAATATGTTGTTCTAAATCGTTTTTACTGGACATTCTATTTATTTATAAAGTTTATGGCCGCCTATCTTACCACAGAATTTATTTTCTTATTTATATAACTTTGAACAGAAATGTAACTGATTTAAGAATATAGTCAACAATCCAAGTGATGGCAGTATAGTCAAGCTGCATATTCAAAAATTGTAGCATTAACAGTATTACTCTCTATATATTAAGTTAGAAATATTTCCTCACTCATTTAGATATTAATTCCATTATTTTATCAAAACAGTTTCCACATTTCATTCTACCTGGTGGAGATGATTCCCTCCCCTCACTCCATATTTCTGCTCCTGGTGTGTTTGTTCTTAATTTATCATCTATTAAAGGGGTATTTTGATTTTCACCCACACCATCCTGCTGGCCAGTGGCAAAAGATTACAAGAACTGTAATTCAACACACCTGACCATTATAGCTTGTTTCACATACCATGATTCAAAAATGATTAAAACCTTCACTTAGCATCTGTATGAATTGAGACATTATGCTTAGCATGTCATTCTTGCTAGTAGAATGTATTTAGAATTAGTGCCTTAATGAAGCCTGATTGATTAGCCTTTCCCATTCTGCCATCACCTTCAGACAATATACCATTAACCTATAGGGTTGCCAGGTCTGCTTCCAAAAAATAGCGGACAAGCGGGGTGGGTGGGTTAAGTAGTAAGAAAAGTAGACTGTACAGCTTTAGATTACGTACCATTTCATCATAAAGCTTTTGAATAAAAAAAATGTCCACTATTTTGTGAAAAAAAATAGTGAACATAATGTGAAAAAAGTGGACTGTCCACTCAAATAGTGGTCACCTATTTAACCTAACACCCTATTAACCCTATTAACCTAACACATTCGGAGTGCATCTTCTGGGTAAGATATATCAATTAAGTAAAATACTCGTCAAATTTAAAGGATTATACTGGTTAATCTACTTCTCTCAACACATAACAAATCTTTAGAGATTAAAAATAAGTACTTAATTAATCTATTGATTTTTAAAAGACTGATTTTTTTCTTATAAAATACAAAGAAACATAAACATGCATTCATTTTTTTTAAATTAAATATGCTTTTTAATCCCCAGAAATATTGCAACTATTCCAAAGCAGGTGCTTTAAGGTTTCTTTTATCTGATATGATCCTTGATTATAGTAGGTGAGGGAAGAATGAAGATAGTCAACATAGTCCTAGGACTCCTATCAGAATTTGGCATCTTGTTCCTTTTGCCTACATTTCCCTACTTGAACCACAGGAACTAATTTATTCATATAAAAATTACATCTTGCCATTAAAGTATACATAGATCATTAAAGCTCAGAGCTATTAAAATTAGCTTAATTCAACATCAATTACAAAAATAGAAAATAGGGAGATACAGCAAGAAAAATCATGCACTAAATATCAAGTTACATTTCTGGAGAAACACCTTTCTAAACCATATCTTCACTACATTAAGAAATATTATTTTAAAAAATGCCAAAGCAGCCTCTCAAATAAATGTACATGTCTTAAACATACTCCTAATTCCAGAATCTGCTATCACTTAAACTCCAAAGAGTGCTCTTCTCTCATTCTTTTAAATTCTGAACTTAATGGTTATATGGGGCCTCCTGTAATGCATGTTACTTTATTCACTTCATCACACTAAAAATTATCCCAATAGCATTGAGAGTCTCCTGCCCATTGTCCTGGCAGAAGTAAAGGGGGTAATAATTCTGCTCTAATGGTATCAATTACATCATGCACTATCCAGCAGTAGCCTTTCCCTATGAAGTAGTGATTTGAAGTTCTTCATTTGAGTGAAATCTGAAGATATTAAAATAATGGGTATCTATTTGCAATGATGTCTATGTATCATGGTTTAAAACATTTTCTGTCCTAATACAATTACATCAATTCATGACTCCATTTTAAGTTTAAAATAGTTTAAATTATCTTTAAGTACAAACCAGTTTACATTATCTTTAAGTACAAATATCTGGATACCACAATGTGAAAATTACTTCAAGAACAATGAGAAACAGTGTACATAAAAGGCATGGCCAGTTAGAATGAGACAGCAGCATTCAATAGCTTGCAGATTCTGTCAAGCAAGACACAATATTTTGCTTCATTCATGCTTCCTTTCAATGAACTTCTGTTCAAAACAAAATAAAATGACATAAGTCTAAAGTTGTGGAACTTACATAAAGAGGTGCTTCAGTGCAGCTCAATTCCATCATTGCAGCATCTGCAAACAGAGCAAACCAAGGTAATTATCACACACTTAATTGCAAAGCATTGATACTATACTGTGTGGATAGTCAAAGATACTAAGACCATCACCATGGCATCTGAATAGTTCCACGAGCAATTCTCTGTCCTATACATTTGTGAAAGCAGTCATTCTTTTCATTACACTCCATAAGAAAGAAAACACAACAGGTGCAAAGTTTGGAAAGTTTACAACCATTTTGTACAAAAAAAAAATACTTAAAACTGACTGAATTTGCACTATGTAAGGTCATCCAGGTGCCAATAAATTTAATAAACTCTCCATTTGGAGGCTCACTAAATAATGTTTGCCATTTAAATAAATGAAACATTATATAACCTACAGTTTATGTAAGAAAAAAAAGACAGTATTTCCTAATTAGTGAAAAATAATCAGAATTACCTAAAGAATTCAAATTTTCTAACCATGTTTGCCATCATTTAAAAAAATGAAAGTATATTTCTATAATGCCATCCTATACTGTACATTAGACAAGTGAAATCATCTCCGAGCAAAATAATAAACTGACACAAATGTGACATCAGAAGTGCTAATATCCAAAGAAAACCAAAGTAGAGCAGTTTGGATTCCATAGAATACTCTGCCTCTCTTCACGTGTTCCTTAAAAAATATTGATTTTACTAGGAAATAGCTTACTGAGAATGTTTACAAAAGAATTAATATTATTGTGTTCAAACTTTCTCAAATGTAAGCAGAACTTCCACTCATTTTCAAACCTTCAATAATTCAGCCAAACTCATTAACAATGTAACTAGTTATAGATAATTTTATCCCAGCTCTCTTTCTCCATCCTCAGGACTATATGCCTCAGACACAGCAACTGTGATTCAAGACAGTTTATGCAACAGTAAATTTATTATAGGTAATCGTTGTTTAGCAATTGCCTCATTTAGCAACTATTCAGTTACAACAGTGATGAAAAAGTAACTTTATGACCAATCTTCACATTTATGATCTTTGCAGGCTGTAAAGCAAAGGAAAGCTGAAATAAGATCATAAGCACAGGAACAGTTTCATAGTTAACGTTCCAAAGGAA